TAACTCTGTGATACTGCCCGAAATCTGATTTCTTCTATATCGAAGGATGACTTTAGCATTGAACTATTTGCTCGTTTTCGTTACCAGGGCCCTGTAAGAAGAGCTTTTCTGTCGAAATTTCGCCGTTTTTTACATTATTGGCTATTTTTTCACATTAATATATTTATACGTGCATGTGCTTCAATAATGTTCGTTAAAGTTTCTCCAAAGGTCAACAGATTTCTGTGAAAATGAGCTCAAAATTCAGCATTTTAGAAACGCTCAAACTCCATTTCTCAAAAACGGCTTCAAATTTTTGCTTCAAACTTTTCCAACCAAGAGCGCTAATTTTACTATTGAATATGGTACAGTTCATTTTGCAAAATGTTCGAAATTGTTTCAATTTTTGAAAAATCATTGTTTTAAATGAAAAACGGGACTTGCACCTTCAGATTACCGAACAACAAAATTTAATCAATATCATTTTGAAAAGGTCGCTGGGACTTCATACAAAGTAACCCAAAAATTAAAATATCGGTTTCAACTTTAAGGAACCGTGGTCAGCCAGATTGATTGGGGAATATCAATTTTTTGAGAAAATCGGCTGAATGGTTTAGCTGCTAGCCTTGTTCATAGACAGACGTTATACCGTCAATCGATTTTTCGGTATCAAGACCCTTAATGTAGGGATTATAGCTACACCATAAGTTAGAGAATTTTTTAAATAAATTAAGCAATACGATTTTCCAATTTTTCGATACAAAAACCCAGCAAAAAGTGTTTTTCTGCCGAAGCGATAACAAAATCGGAACCAATTTAAAATGTCATTTAAAGGAAAAGGAGGCTTTAATTAAAATCGGAAATTAACCTTTTGTACGCTATTTTTGACTATTTTCACTAGTTAGACGTGTATCAAATAATTGGTGTCTATCGTTATCAGTAAATCTCGGACGTTTCTCGAAATGCCTTTCTATTATTGATGCGGTCGGTGGTTGTTGATTTTAACAATGGCATTTCATTGTACTTCTGTAGTTGTTTTATTAGATTGTCATTTCAATGCCAAGTTTTGGCATTTTGCCTCATTTGTGCATTTTTATTCCTTTTCTTCATTATTGTCCTTTTTTTCCCTCCTGGCAATCTCTATGGAAATATACCTGTGAACGTGGGCAACATGGAGGCACGGGCGTGTATTGTCTTTCTGTTGACGCGAATTCTCCAGTATCAGGAGTGTTAAAAGGGAAATGAAGATGATACGGGAGACTTCGACATCTAAAAGAAAAAGGGGGATTAAGATTTTTAATATTTTTCATTGATGGTGACGTCTTGAGTCTTGTTTGCTCACGTGTTTGTATGGTCTCGGATCCCATTCGATGACAGATTTGTCTGTACACAATAACCCTTCTAAGTTCCTTCTTGTTCTCTCTTCCCTTCTGGCGATTACACAACTGCGAAAAACGAAATCCATAATTTCATGTTCACTGAGACCGTTTCAAGCTTCAAAAGGGATTCCACAATAGAATTTCATAGAAACATCATTGCAAAGAAAATAAATTCGTATTCGTCATACCGGATGATAATCAAGATTTAAAAGGAAATATAGTTTCCTTCCTTTAAGTGCTAATGTGAAATTTACTATTAGAATAAAAATGAGAATCAATTTAATTTTTACTAATAATTTTTTTACAATAATTACTTTTTAAATGGTGATTTTTCATTGATTGTGTTTTTTGACCCCTTGTTTTACTTTAGCCAGAATAAATGCATATTTTGCATATCTATTTTAGTAAAATTAAGTGCCCTTTTGTCTGCCTATTTTATGTGAAATAATTGCCTGAACTTCCTGGTTGTAGTTACTAGATTCCAAACAAACAGAAGTTAAGATAACGTTGAAAGTCAATTGGCTCACGCAACCCAAGCAAAATTGTTTATATCACGAAAGTTCAGCGCGCAGCTCACTTTGTTTAGAAGCATCCAGAGTGAAGAATGTTCCACAAAGCACACTACTTATGTTGCAAGCCGTTGAGACAAATCACTCGTTTGAGAAGAAAACCTTTCGTGGAAGCGGTCCGCTTATATGTTAAGGAATTTGGCAGAGAGACAAGTTTCCATGGAGTGACCCACATTCTTTCGGAAGGCCGACATCCAATCGAAAGGAAAGTATTATTTAAGCTGCATGATCTCTTATTTTTATTATTATCATTCCCCGCTTCATTACTTTCTCGGCGTAAAGAAGGTACTTCTTCAGAAGAAAGTTATGTAATTCTGCGCGAAAAAACGACGGATTTTTGCCCCCAAAACTTTTTTTACGCGGCCATGGCAATGAAAAAGTCGATAAATACAGCTGTTAAAGAAAGAAAAAAATGCTCTAACATATGGTGCAGCCAGAATATGTTTTATGGATCCTTGATATCGACAAATCGATTGACGGCAAATCGTCTGCTAGCAACAATGCTAGCTTCTTAACCGTTAAGCCGATTTTCTCCAAAATTGATATTCGCCAATCGATCTGGCTGATGTCGCGGGCTCTTCAATTTAAAACCGATATTTTAATTTAGGGGGTTAATTTACATGAAGCCCCAAAGACAATTTCAAAATTTTCAAACAGCTTTGTTGATTTTAATTAAATTTTGTTAAATAGTCTGAAGGTCGTTTAAGAAATTGGGCAGGTCTTATGTTGGTTGGAAATCACAATTTTTCGAAAATTCAATTTTTTCCGCGTGTTTCTACAACTACAATTATGAAGCTACAATTTTTTCTTAACGAAATGTGTTCATCAAAAACATCTTCAAATAAAGTGAAATCGAATTTTTCGAAAATGAGTATTATTTTAGTAATTAGGCGTCAAATAGTCGCTTGGTCCGAAAATTCTGCACTTCGTGATCGTAATTTTAGAAGTGCAGACAGGTTTGAGGCAGTTGGATGCTACGGAAGTTAGAATGTGCATTATGGTATTTCATATTTCTTTGTTGATTTCTTACATTGCAACTCCTGTTATACGTTTACAAATTAATCTTTTAGAAATTATTTAAAACCTATTTGAAAGAAAGAGGAAATAAAGGTCGCTACCCTTCAGTTGGCCGCTTCCAATATTTCTCGACCTGTTTGCATGTGTTTACCAACGCTATCAGTATCGTATTATTTATTAACTTTTATTGCTTTTTATTTTCCCATATATCTACCTAGTGCAACTAGTGTTTCTTATAGCTACTATTTGTTTTGGTCACATACTTTCTTAAATCTACTATATATACTAGTGTTTCTTATAGATATTATTTGGTTTGTTCATATATTTTTGTTGTCTCATAGTTTGTTTTATAAGAGTTTCTTTTTACTACTATTTGTTTGGCTTTATGTTGTTTTCATGATTCTGATGACTGACTTTAGTGATTTTACAAATATCAACCAACTGTATTCCTGCAAGAGGCCTTCGTCGTTTATGCGATGTTGTAGGGTAATAATAGTAATAGTAATAGTAGTAATAGTAGTAATAGTAGTAATAGTAGTAATAGTAGTAATAGTAATAATAGTAATAATAGTAATAATAGTAATAATAGTAATAATAGTAATAATAGTAATAATAGTAATAATAGTAATATACGATGTATAGGGAAAGTATTTAAATGCTGTGGAAATCGATTTCGAGATTTCAATGGAAATACAACTTTTGGTGTCCCTCATACCGAAAGTAGTGGTGCTACAGAATAGCACAGACTTCCCGGAATTAGTTTTCTATTTCCATTGGTCTCGGCTAGCTATTCGAACTTGCCACATATTCTTCCCTGCTGCCATCTATTGCCGCCAAACCACATATTTTGAAATTTTCTCAATTTTTCGGTTTAGTAATAGTACAACGGAAATATTATTTTCAAAATTAAAAAAAAGTAAAACCTCATCGTAAATGGCAAATTTTCATTGAAAACTTTGGAACCTTTTTAAGAAAATGGTGTTTGAGCGCTTCTGAAAATTCGTAATTTAAAGCTCTTTTTCCCAGAAAGTTGAGTTTTTGAAAAACTTAACCCCATATTGAAGAGTGCAATTTATAACTATCCCTTCGAAAAGTTAGAAGAAAAAAATCTGAGACTTTTTGAAAAAATTGCTTTTGAGCGTTTTGAAAATGTGGAATTTTGAGGTAGTTTTCACAGAAAACGGTTGAATTTTTGAGAAACCGTATTTGACATTATTTAAAGCACATGTACGCATAAATATAATAGTGTGAGAGACAAGTCAAAAAGTACATTTTATTGAAAAAACAAAAGTATGGAGCAACATGGTGTTTGTCATATCATGATGTATATTCAGCGCTTTCCATAACAAAAGTATAAGAAAACGTTCGGAGCCATTTTTGAGAAAATCTTGTTTTTGTTATTTTTTTAAATTGCTCAAATTGCACACAATATTTCTACTAGCATTAATATTGCTACTACATTAATTTTAGCGAAAACTACTAAAATTTCAAAGTACATGCCCTAAATGAATGAAAACTCTGTGGAGAACATTTTTTTTAAAGGAGAACTCTCTATCTTCAATTTTGTAATGTAGGAAAATGCACAAAAAATTTTAAAATTTCAAAATTTTCGATAATTTGGAGTTAATCCTGAAAATCGGACCAATGACACCTTTGTGTATTTTGCTCTATTTTTACAAGAAACTTTAAAGAAAAAAGTTGCAGCCGTTTTGAGAAAATTTTGAAAATATCTGCAATTTTGAAAATGCTGCGAATGTTAAAGCTGTTCCAGCAATTTGTATGAGTATTGCGATGAACATAAAAGTACTAAAGCCACTACTTTACTACTATCAAGGAGGACTCCTTAGAAATGTCACCGTTACAAATGACGAGGAAAAGCTTGTGCTGTTAGAGCATCACTTGTTTATTGAGCTTACAGGCTCGTTTACTGAATTCAGTGTAGGATACATTACGATCGTTGGAACGTGTCAATTTCTTGATCTGATGAAATATTATTTGCAGATTTGTGTGGCTTGTCATCTTTCTCTCCGCAGTAGCTTGCGCTGCGACTCTGATCATGAACAGTGCGAAGCGCTATTACACCAATCCTACGGTGGTGGCCCTAGAGAAGAATTATATGGAATGGATTGTACAATTTCCGTCATTGACATTCTTCTATTTAAATCGCGTGAATAACTCTGCCGTAAAAGAATTTGTACGAAAGTAAGTTCCAATGTTACTAAAATAAATGTCTTATTACTGATGATTAGCTATGTCAACAAAAAATATGGAAAAACAAATTTAATTTCGAAATTTTCAAATGTTACTGACCTCGCTTTGTTGGTACTTTTATACATTAAACTATGTATAGTAGAATGACGGGGAAGAGATTTTGGTACTCAAGAAAACGTGCGCAGTTCATACTATTTCTCCGCCATACGTCACACAATTTTTGTTGTTTGATGAAGTAAATCAAATCAAAATTTATTATAAATGACGAAAAGTAAAAAATATTGCTTTAGATAATTCATTTTGATTATGTAATCTGTAATGACCAGAAGTGAGCTTGAAAATAAATCTTTGAAACGTAAAATTCATTAGAAAATGTCTAATGTAAAGCTGTAAAATGTGTTAATATATTTTATTATATATGTCATTTATTTTAATTATTTTCAAAGGAACATGTCAATTGACGAGCTAGAAAAGACTGCACTATATGAGAGATTCATTGCCGCTGTGGGGAATATTTCTTACGACAACCTACACTTATTTCAAGAATTTGAGAATGAAAATGGGTTAGACCACATTACTTCGGAGATGGAAGATATCGCAGAACAGGCAAGTTGTTTATGTCGGTCTTGTAGCTCGTTACATAGCTCTAGGATTATTCATTGAAGAGAGCGAAATCGCAAGAAAATTTCACCTTTTATAGGGGTAAACCTTGCTACATCACCATGAAAATATATTGATGGCATTTTGTGAGGCTAGAAATAGTAACACCATCGCTCTGAGGGCTATCAATCCCTATATATACTGCTAGCAAGATAACTGAATGGAACAATTCGCGTTCCACTCCAATTTCAAATGAAAGGAATGTTCCCATACAATTACACGAACAGTCATACACTTGTTGATTACCCTTTCGTTTGAGTCGGGGCTAACTTATTTGCCCCTCCCCCCCTTCACTACAGTCTTTGGACGCACAAAAACCAACCAGGGCTGTCCACGATAACCTATGTTCAACAAGCATCCAGCCCACCGTTCTGGATCATCGTAGATTTTTGGTACATAATAAACATTTGTTATTATATTTTACATTATTTTTCTTGTGTATATGATGCTATACAATATTTGTTTAAAAATAATTACATAATTATAACATTATATTTAAATCAGTTTTGCCAAATAAAGGAAGGTAACAAACAAAAACTTTAGACTTGTGGGGGGGGGTACATGGTCCCCCATGATCAATGGGGACATTCCCTGTGAAGAGCACCTTCGAGCACGTCAAACATGGCATGTGACTACTCGACGCGACCCTACATCATTACCGTAAAGCGCATGGAACTCGTGGCCACATCATGGTGTTCGGCGTCTCTGGATATGGTTCCTCATTCACATTCACAGGCAGATTGCGCTCGCATCTCACACGCAGGCTCCAGTCGGACCAAGAGATTATCGAAGGATTAGGGTATATGCTTCGATTTTGCTATAGTGGCCGATGACATTAAGTCATTGTTACACCCCGTGCTTTGTTCAATAGATCTTCTCACAGTGGTAAGCACATTATCCTGCCATATGAATCATTTTAGCAGTGGTAAGCCCACTTCTCAGGCCACGAGCCCCGTTGAGAAGGACGTTCGCGAATTAAATTTAAAAAAATTAGTTTTAAATAGCAGGAGGTGTAGCTATTACCTAACGTCATCGGCCACTATAGAACAATCGAAGTAGACATGTAATACACGAGGGAATCGGAATGCCCCGCACCTTGGACACGAATACAACTTAAAACATTCATTCGTATGAGCGAATCAAACATCTTTCAGCTTATTTACTACCATAATAACTTTCGACAAACATCAGAGGCCGTTTGTGTTCGGCAATGCAGTCAAATTAAATAAAACTCCACTGAGAACTAAATATTAATGGCGTTACATTTCAATTAGAATGTCACATACTTTCTCATACTACTTTGTTTTCAATTCTCTTTTTATTCTATTATATTGTTTTCTATCTTGTCTGCTCTTGAGTCAGATCTAAATTGTCGATTTTACATTACAACCTTCCCAACCTTCCACCACCTCGCCATCTTAAGTGTCTACCGTAGTCTCTGGTGGCGTCCACCACTCTCCTCGGGGCATTCGCCCTGAAACGCAGCTTCGCGCTCCTCGACTTTTCGTATACCTCTCAAATTGATTCTTTACAATCTATAATAATAGTAATAATAATAATAATATTAATAATAATAATAATAATAATAATAATAATAATAATAATAATAATAAAAATAATAAAAATAATAATAATAATAATAATAATAATAATAAAAATAATAATAAAAATAATAATAAATAATGAGCGCTAATTATTAGCGATTCCGAGCGCGTCAACTGCTAAGGTCATTAGTTCCGCAAATGTAGTGCATGTTTTTGCTTGCAAAGTGGCGAGGGTCTTGCTCTGCTGGAGAGCGAGATATAGCAGTGCTGTATACGGTCGCGATAATTGTCAGTGTTACCTTTGTCTGGACGAAAGGGATTCTATCTCTTGTCAGTCCATATCGCGCAACTCTTGTGCGCAAGAGATTCCCGCGTCGAACACACGTTGGTTCCCGGAGATCGCAATGCCACTGAGTGTCGGAATCGCCACCAACCTCACGATGTAATTCACGTTCACTGCACTGCAGTCGATACGCGCGTATTACTTAGTTTCCACATTATTCTAACGAGGCGATCTGCCATGACATTGCTGATTTCCAAACAATGTGATCCCGTCGTGTGTTAGCGGGAAGAAGTTAATTTTGTTGTAAATCTCTCCAATGAGCGTTGCCCATGCTCACTAGACCTTCGCGCTCCCGGGATCTGGCGATTTCTACCGGTTATCTTTGGAAGCGGTTGAAAGTCTGTTGCAAAGAGTTTTATACGCGAAGTTAATTCCTTTCCTCTCAGCAAGGTGGTCTTTCCTCGAGCGCGCGACGCTTGATATGTATGCTCTTTGCTAGTAATTAGCACCAAAGAGTGGTTGTAAATGATTGTATTCGAATTACGGTCCCAGGTGACAATAGTTTATGGCTTCCATGAAATTTGTTCAAAAAGCAGCTCTTGAAAAAAAGTCATGTACAACGTTTTAAAAATGTCATTTTCTTTTCAAATGTGTCGGTCATCTTCAATATTAAATTTGAATTTTTTTTAAAAATAAGCAAACTATCCCTTATTCTTTAGTGTTTAAATTTTTTTTATGATAAAAATATATTGGTAGTATTTTTTATATGGGGGCAAAGTTTCTTTGTTTCGGAACCATTACTTAACGTTCAGAATTGAAGCTAAATATTTCGTTATTAACGCAGTCTATTAGATAGTGAAATCTTTCGTTAATTTTCGTGAAGTCACTGAATATATGAACACACTGAATTTAATGACAAAATGCAATTCTCATAAAAACTTTTAAATTTTCAAATACATTAATATCTGTATTTTCCGTACTTGGTTTTGTTAGACGTTTGTGAGTGACATACGTTTTAAATTAGAATATTAACTGTGATTATAAAAAAAAATATGTTTCAGGTACAGATGAAAATCGGTCTTCCAGCACCTCAGGCTGTTTTGGGACAAGAAATCACAATAACACCCATTTTAGGAGAATTTGGGTTCTGCTATACATACGCATCTCCTATAGCACATTATATATCACCTAAGTATGTTTAATAAAATAGGGCAAACAATATTATCTTATATTATGTGTAATTACCGAACTGCACACAGTATATCTTTAAGATGGCTTCATTTGGCGCATATGATGATATTCCTCTAAACCATGGTGGAAATACATGGGCGAGTTCCTCCGAAGCGACATGTTTAGAAACATTTTGAAAGTGGTTCAAAGTGACAATTTTCTACGGGAACCAACCAAAAATAACACGAAGCTGTACAAGATACAATAATTAAAGAAAAGTTTCATAAATCTGTTTCAGTGTCTAATAACGAGGTGATAATTTTGGTACTTGGCTACATTTTAAATTCCCTCTAATATTGTGAAGCAAACTGGTGTGTGATCCTCATTGGCTGAAGTTGAATACGATGCGCAAGAGCCTCCCTCCTGCAATAGACCAGAAGCATTTTTCTAGTATTCGCCTGTTTTATTAGAACGTTTGGAATCACCGACCTCCTCAGATTATTTGCTGTAAGGAACAGCTTACATAATCATCACAGAAAGAAGTGACCTTAAGGGGGTACAAACAGTTACGGGGATCGAAAAGATTAATAAAAAAATAATACCAACAAAATTCTCTACCGTTATTTTCCTTTTGAATTCATAGTGATACGAGATTGCGATATGGAGTTATGAAGGAATCTGACATTGTGCGGAAGACATCTACCACAAGTGAGACCGCCCTCTTCGTGCTGTTATTTCATTTTATACTTCTTTTAATCTTATAATCTTCTAGCGAGTCGTAAATTTCTCATACTACTCGTGTGTTGAATATTTGAACTAGTAATTTCTCATACTTTCTATTATTGTTTTGTTATTCTTTTAGATTTCTTTTGCTATTATTCCGTTTAATATAGTATCATTACGACACACTTCTTCTATAAGGCCAGTGCTGGAGATAATTGTTGGGAGAATGAATACTTTGTCCTGTTTCATTGATCTTTAATTTGATATGCCAGGTCGCTGTACTTCCTTATTTTTTCGAGAATATTCCTGGAGGAAGGAATTGCAACATCAATGAGAAAAGTAGTTTTTGACACCTTAAGATTTATCGTAATATCTGGCCTGTTACGTTCTAGAGATTTGTGCGTCAAAATTATGCGATCGAAATAAATTCTGACCTTTTATTTCCCAACAAAGGTTCAAGTTTGTAGGTGCAGTGCAGTGCAGTAGGTGCATGATGATCACTAAATTTACGGATGATTGCAATTTATTGGTGTATAATGCAAACTGTCTGGTTATGGCGCATTGTGTAATCTGTCTGTCTGCGAGAGTTGCACATCCTGAAATGATGTGATCAATATTTTCCGTCCACACGTTACATCTGCGGCCTTTTTGTCAGATTGGACTTTGCGATCTTTTTTAAATTTGTTTTCTGTAGTTTAGGGTGGGAATAACTTAATCTTGAATGGCTAGCATGAAACCCTCAGATTCAGCACATAGCTCTCCATCTGCTAGCCATTTTACAGACGACGAAAAGTCTGTGCATGGATCGTGAGGGGTGCATGGATTGACAATGAATTAATTTTTCTGATCACCGGTCTAAGTTTTGTTTTTCTGTTTGAAAGGTAGTTTCTTGAAGAGTGTTCAGATGTAGATATGTAAGATTTTTATCTGGTAACACAAGTGCTTCGTGTATAAGTGAAAATTTTGATTTGTTGAGGAAGTATTCTCTGAGAGAAGTGATTTGATTTGAATGTAGTTCCTGGATGTCAGTTATGTCTCCCCCTCTGAGGCTTCTCTAAGGGAGTCTCTCTAGATAGACTGTACAAGATTTTGGGTGATGCTTTTAGTATTTTGTCATTGTTGTACGAATTAGCCTTTCAATATGTTGGAGGTCAGTTAAGGACCATTTCATAATACCGAAGCTGTATGTAAGAACAGAAATTGCATAGAGTATAAAGGCTTTTATAAGGTTTTCCCCTGTGACTTTTAATCAGTTGATGTTGACGATTTTTGTATTCCATCTGAAGAGCCATCAGTCAACCTCCATACTTTTCGGTGTGCATATTTCGCGAATGTTCATTCCCGCCTGAGATATGGCATAATATTCTGGGGAAATTCATCTTATAGCTCCAAGACTTTTAGATTACAAAAAAGAATTGTACGAACAATTAGCAAATCCAACCCACGTGATTCGTGTACGCCTCTCTTTATTAATCTAGGTATCGTAGCATTACCTTGTCTCTCCACATACGAATCTTTGTTTTTGTTTATTAAAAATGACTACTTAAGGACGTGAATATATTTTCAGCAACAGCACTCGACGTGAATTCAGCTACATCACTCGACGTAGTAATCATATTCATCAGGTGACAGAATAAACGGCTCACTACAAAAAATTCACATACAACACATGTACATTATTTTACAACATCTTACCAGATGACATTAAACGATTAAATTCGATACAAAAGTTTAAGTCCCAAGTAAAATCTTTTCTGCTGCCCAACTGTTTCTATACAATTAGAGACTATACCGAGCATTCAAAAGGAAAGTAATATTAATTTTAACAATGACATTTAATATATTTTATACCATTTGGATTGTATAATTGTAAAGAACCTGTAACAAGTATTGTACTTGTGCTTCTGGATTAATGACCCCCATCTCGATCAGGTTTTCGTCCAGTTTCCCTAATCCTTGAGCAAATGCTGAGATGGCCCTTTGTTTTGCTTCTGGACATAAATGTAACTTCAAATTAACTTCTCGTTATAGCATGTCACACAGTTTTTAATTGTTTTTGACGTAACTAAATAAATAAAAATAAATAAATCATTGTTAAAGAGAATTTGTAACAAGAAAATATTTGTTTCTCACAGATTGCATTATTCCCAGATACTTGTGAAGTTTACTATCTTCTAGATTAGGTATTTGTAATTGGTTAAATTCTCTTATATCAATTTTATATTTTACAATACGAAGAGTGCGACATTTGTCTAAGTCCAGTTCCACGTGAATATCGTTTGAGAATGTTTCAACAGTTTCTAGAAGACTTCGGAGGTTTTCTTTTGAAGGAGCATATATAGTTCTGTTTTCATAGGTCTGTCCTTCGAGACCCAGTGTCACTGTGTCACTGTATTTCGCGTCATTCTCGGTCGTGCCGCTTGATGTCGCATGATCGCGACCGTATGGCAGTGCTGCATTCATAGCTTTTGATTTGATTTATTCAGTCAAACAGTTGTATGTGACGTAGGGGGGACAAGATTATCTGCGCACGTTTTATTGAGTTCCAGAATCTCTTCCCGTTATTTTAACTATAAATAGTTGAAATATGAATAAACGTTTAACATAATTAAATAAAAATAAAATCGCAAGATTATCAACATTTGAAAAATAGTCATTTTTGTTTCTGAGTTATATAAAACTTATTTGCATCGGTTCACGAATTGCAAGTATGATTTTTCTGCAAAATAGCAATTCGCCCTTACCTCTACTCTTACCATTACAAGCAAAAGAAGAGTTCAACAAAACGTGCGCATAGTAAAGCTATATTTACGTCAAGAAGCAAAACCAGGGGCCATCTCAGCATTTGTTCAAGATCGCTTATTGGGTCAGGGAAACTGGACAAAAACCTGATCAAGATGGGGGTCATTGACCCGGAAGCTGAAGTACATTATTTGTTACAAAAATATCAAGTCTTTTAAAACAAATTATACAATACAAATGTAAGCTAATTAATTATATATAACTGTTTTGTTAAAATAAACATTATTTTTCTTTTTGATAATGGATACTGGAATACCAGTTTCTCCAACGTTCACGTCGGGACCACTGGAATTTTCTGTCACGAGTTACACCCACTTGACAGTAGTTACACTTCACAAAAAATTAAAAACGTTCACACATACAGTAATTAAATAGGTTTGCCGCTTTTTGCCACAATGCCTATGCCACAATATTCTCTCCCTACGTCACATACAGTTTTTCCTATGTTTTGGCTAAATAAATAAATAAATAAAAAATAAATGCGGCATTTAGTCCGTGTGCCTCACAGTACTTAGAGCTGCTTACCGCTGAGCGCGTTGTAAGTTACCACTGTTAACAACTAAAACCGATAAGCCTTCAAAGTGCGGATAGCTTGCCCCTACGAAAGCTGAGCTCCAACTCTCGATAAATTTTCAAATGTTGTCTGTTTTTTATTATGAACGTCTACATTTTTTGTTGTAACCATTAATAGTACCTGAAAATCTAAAATATTTATTCTTTACGAAACGTGGTATGGTAAATGTAATATAGGATTAATATAACTATCATATCAAACTAAGTTTCATTGTATTGTGTGGTAGTCAAATGGGAGTTCTCTAAATAGCACGTAAGTTATATTATTATATTACAAAGTTTTATATTGAAACTTCATTTTTGTTCCAGACCGTTAAGAGACAATCCTAAGATGAGAGATAAATATAAAGCAAATGTTGTGAATTGCCAAAAAACAGGTGATTCTTGCTCAAGCTATACGGAGTTTCCGAAACAAATGATGGTTAAGGTACGCATGCTTAAAGATAAATATCTGCACACAAAACACTATTAGTCTTCTTTTTGTAATTGAAGATTTTGTTTCCAAAGTAACAGTTCTCAATTTTCATTTTACGTATTACGTATCAAAATACTCCTATGATGTTTCTCCGTCAAGACGCAAAATATCGTTAAAAAATTGAGTTTCTTCCGTGTTGAACACTGAACGAAACTGTTGAATCTTATCATCAATTACTAGCATACATGTAAATATTTGCCCGGACTGAAAAATTGTTTCATGGAAATACATCACTTCGGAAATCATATCTTCAATTCTAACCGTTATTAAAAGGATTGTTCGTACAGTGAAAAAAGCTCGTAAGGATTGGACAGGTGGATTTTTCAATTTGTCCAAAGCACGATGAAAGTCTTTTAGTACAGGAGCTAGTGAATTTGATATTGTAAACATTTAATAATTGGTCTACCCGAAGAAAACTCTTTCCCTTCAGTACTCTTTTAAAGCAATGTTAAAAAGTGCTTCTAACTAAAAAATTTCGAGATTACGACCGAAAAGGTCAAAGTCAGAATTACGAAGTATTTAATAAAAAGTTTTGAAACATTTCTAAACTTCTGAAACCAGAAACAATAATGGATTTCGTTAGATTTCCAAAGAAGCTGATAACAGCTACCGATAACAAAGAAAAACTAACAGGTATTCAGGTAACCAGCACAGTAAGCGAGATTTTGCCTTAGGATTGAAATGTTTTCGGACAAATTGATGATAAGAGCGAAATCCGTAATTTTGAAATGAGAATGCAAAAGACAATTTGTGAATGTTGCTTAATTTTTAGATCGCATTAATGCACACGTCCAAGTATATGGTTCTGGAATATGCCTTACAATATGCGAAACTGTAGCCTTTTTACTTTCCCGTATACATACGTATATACAGAATAATGTACGTAGTATAGGACAAGTTATGTAGTGTTTCGCGAAATAGAGAGTTCTGTGCTTCAAATGACTTTAAATGAAGTTTTTCGAAAACTCAAAACTTTTCTGAGAAAAAGAGCTTCAAATTTCGAATTTACAGAAGCGCTTAAACGTCATTTTCTTAAAAACAGCTCCAAAGTTTTCAATAAAAATGTTCCATTTATAAAGAGATTTTACTCTTTTTAATTTTTAAAATACTATTTCGGTTCTGTTATTAGGAAACCGAAAAATTGAGAAATTCAAAACAGAGTAATTTTGGTGGCGTTGGCAGCTGGTTTATTCATGGCGTCCATATGTTTTGTTTACTTTATTGCATCAGTATTTTATTTCCTTTAAGGTCATTGATCCCATGGAATATTTTTGCCGTTCGCTTATCAAAAATAACACCAAAGTAGTGTCATCATTTCGTTTGTTTTTTAATTGGTTTGAATATGTACTGAAAACAGTTAAGGTAGATGTCTACCTCAAAATGATAAAGGTCATGATATTTCATATTTTTGAGTTTTTATTGTGTCAGTGCCAACTGTCAACTGTCAACTGTCAACTGTCAAGCTCTTAGTGAGCAAACGTCAGATAATTTTCCCGAATTGGGAATTTGCAGCACAATCATGCATGTTAAACATCATAAATCATTAACTTTAAAATATAATATAATTCTTTTGACAGCATGTAAACCCATTATTTTGCTCTAGTGATTGAACTAGAATAGTTGGTGTGTCACGGTGCATCTCGTCTGGCAGGACACATTTGTAGGCCGCTGTGGACATACGAGTAGTGCTCTTGGAGTGGAGGCGAGGGTTCAGGTGCAAAAAGGGGTGCAAAAAGAGCAAGAGCAGCGGCTTATTACTGATACGTTTAAGTAGAGTTTAAATGTCCGTTGATGATTTTATTTTCATCTCAGAAAACGCAGTGAGGTTTGGAACTAAGTGACCATTTGTAATCATTGTTTAAGTATTTCTTTCGGCCCGTTGACTATATTTTGAATATGAAATATTGACAGCCTGCTTCCGCTGAGCCTTGCGGCTACGCCTGAGCGTAAGCCATATTGCCGGCTTTGTACAACGCTGTATATCACATTAGAGCCATCATTCGCCTATCGTCATTCATTCCCCACTGACCCTCTATAATAGTCCATTTACTGATAGGTAATGGCCATCCACCACAGTGATCTGTGGAATGGCGTAAGTCATAATGCTTTTCTTCCTTCCTTTTTCCCTACCTAAGGGACACAGTACGACAATCATCGTAATCACCATCATCATCATCATATCATCAAGCTAATAATTAGAATGGAAGTTATTAAAACTATTAAAAGTATTAAATTTGATGCGTCAACTTAATTTTTCCAACAAAAAAGTTAGGAAGTAGTTAGGTAAAGAATTGCTAATGCATTTTATGGTGACATTATAACCGGTGACGTCATAGCTTAGCCTCTTTATTTGAAGTGCAATGTCAGACAGTATTTTGTGAGGTCTACAGGTGTGTGCAAAACAAGCTATTGTTCAAAATAAATATTTCGTATGATATGTGATGTACGATCTGCATCTTCTCTTCGTAAACATCTTTGTTTCCAGTTTTCAGTGCATTCACCGTATGAAATGCAACAGGCATCTGACAAGTTCGAAAACGGACAACCTGGGATCAACATACGCTTCTATACTCCTTTCCAAATAGTTTCAGATGTAGAAGTGTACGAACTAAAACCGTCTCAACGGCATTGTTTCCTTCAAACAGAACCTAGTGGAGATTTGCCTTTTAGCAGTTTCAATGTATGCCTCATGAACTGTCGGCGGCGGCTAGCAATACGTCTGTGTGGATGTGCGCCGTTCTTTTATAATTCTATTGGTGAGTTTTTACTAATTATTATCTCTGATAAATAACTCATTTATTTCATAAACCGGTCAACTTCAACAATTTCAGAAAAAAATAATATTTCTAGCGCCAGACTAAACTTTTGAGTAATAGTTTTAACTTCTTGCTGAAAGAAGTACTATATATTTGTCATTTTTATTGAAATAAGGTATTGTACACTTCTAAAAATATATACTTATGTATCACTATCAGCATCCAGTATTGCCAGGAATTTTTCTCAACCAATTCTTCTCCAAGAGAAAAAAATAATAATTCTTATCTACACAACAGTTGTAATTAGTATTTTTAATTTCTCGCTACTGCTTACGCAGTATAGTGAAATTATTGTAACGCTGCGGGGGTAAAATGCGAATTTTCGACAGAAAATGTATTATTTCCGGGTCCTGGTAACTAAAAAGTGGAAAGACCTTTTCTCTATACGTAGTCAATTACTTCAAGTAAAACATTGATTCCCAAGTGGGGCGCGCCCCCCCACGTGTGTCCTAGAGGCAAGGCGGGCCAACTAGCCGTGTACAAGGAGAACCGAACATTCCCAAGGACTATGCGCGTTGCGAAGATTTGAATTCTAGTGTCTTTCCCTTGATGCATTAGGTGATTTGTGACAAGATATCGTTCAAGATGAGTTCAGTAAAAACGCAAGTATAACGACGATTTTATTAAATGTGAGATTATTTGATTGCTTAAGGATGGCGTTGAACCGCTCCAGTGCGTTATTTTCTGAAGTATTGAGCAACGATATCATGAGACCTTGTCGTCTTGAACGGCATTTTTCAACGTAACATGTTTGTGTTATGGATAGACAAAAAAACTTTTTTCAACAAAACGCATGAAGTTGGATAGTACTGGATCTGTTAGTCGTGCTTATCGAAACACTGCTTACCATTCTGTTGACGACTTTCGCTTTAAATTTCATTGGTAATTTCTAAAAATTATCAACGTAGCTAGAGCTCATCGCGACACCCCATACTGCTACTCCATATCTTCAGATCTCTTTTGTTGGAATAGCTACAATACCTCAGACAATGCCCACTGATGCGGCGCAGGTTAATGTCTGCTACAGTAATCCTTCAACACTTGCAAGAGTAAAGTTCCCCAAAACCATCGCGAATGCTGAGTTTATCTTTTAATACACAAAGATAAGTTAGGTGCCTGGATATAGAAAAACTGTTTAAAAAGTAAAACATAGCTGACAAACAAGTGCTGTAGAACTGAGTAATCGTAATGAGTATTACAAACAGAATTCACAATTAACATCCCGTACAGAAAAAAATTAAAAAGGCATTTAAAACTTATTTGAAAGTCGAAAGTGATTGGTTATAAGATTTAGTTATTTTTTTGTGTCATCATCGTCCTTCTAATATCCAAACATGGAAGAGTTACTGCTACTATTTCTCTCTTAAATTTCAAATTTATTTCCATGTTGGGATTACATTTGAATGTCCTTACCACCACAGTTTTTCGAAGTTTTAGAAGTTATTAAACGTTTTGACATTGAAGTTGCTCCTGGATGCAGTTTTGAATCTGTTACTCCATCATTTGGAGGTTTTCGAGGTTTTCTTTGCTGATGAAGCTCCTTTGCAGTGACGTCATTATAATGAGAGTTGCACGGATCCTTAATGGCATTTCTGTTCATGTAGCCCTTACTTCCAATTGGACGCAACTAAATTGAATTATTTTACAATTGTCTTATTCTATTAATGTGAACTGACATTCCAACTTAGATATGTTTTCAGAAGCAGATGACGCTGATAAAAGAAATGAAATGTGCTCTCTTTCAAAAACTAGTGGTGCTAAAACAACACGTACTTTCTTGCCATTAGTAATTGTTATGTAATCATATACATACTACAATTTCTCTCCGAATTATTTTTTGTCAAACTCATTTGAAATCGTACATTTGGTGCGAAAACAGTGGTGAAGCTAGAGTCGTACAGTGGAGTAAACTGAAAATACTATCGTACATTTCTTTGTTACTTAGCTCCATTCATCGATTTTTTTCGTTCAGCAAAAGCACCGATAATTTATTATAAACTTTTTTCAACAAAGTCTGAATATTTAAAACGCATGAAGTTGGATAGTACTGGATCTGTTAGTCGTGTTTATCGAAACTGCTTACCATTCTGTTGACGACTTTCGCGTACGATTAGCGTACGATAATTTATTCTTTAAATCTGTATCTTCTGCAAAGTTAATTTTGGCACCTCTCGATAGCCAGTTTACAGAAATTACCGATCCTGATATTTCCCAGGGAATTTGTCAGGAATGTCTTTACTCTCTTTAATGTAATCATATTCCTTTCATATACTGCTGTAGATGCAGGGAAAGTTACACCGAGTTGTATCAACCGAACCGTCTCTTGGTAATTTTTTGTAGGTCAATATGTCTAATTAATAATTCAGCAAGAAATCTGCAGGCATGTATTTTGCAGTATCAATGCATACATTTGTCAGTCCATTTCGAAGCTGCTTAGTGTCAAAGAATGCATATTGTTTTATTAGGAAAGGTTGGTTGATTGATTGATTTGTTATTGATTCTGAGCGCGTCAACTACTGAGGTCATTAGTCCCGTATGTGTAGTGCATGGTTTTGCCCGGGAGGTGGCGGTGATCTTCCCGCGCTGGATGGCGAGATCCGGCGCCGACCTACCATCGGCTAGCGGGATTTTTTCCCCAACCAGGTATCTCCCACCAGCGGAGCACCACCCGAGCCAGAACAAGCTCTAAGCTCCCGACCTGTCTCCCGGCGTGCGTTGTAGAGTAGTGCATGTTGGTGTAAGGGGTGAGGGCAGGACAAGGAAGAGGAAGTAAAGAATGCGCGCGGTCCGTGTGTTAGAGTGCTGCTCCGGAATTCGCCTGGTGTTGTTCGGAGAAACCACAGAAAACTACGGATCAGAGCAGCCGGCCGCTAGAATTCTCCTCCGAACAGCGGGACTCGAACCTAGGACCTCCCGGTCAGAACCATCTCTCCCTGTTTTATTAGCAAAGAAAACTTTGTTGAACGCAAGGGGTTTGTAGGTGGAAAAACATCAGACCTACACCATTTTCTTAAATGTTATTCAGACAATCCACCAACAAAATTTCATTAAAAACGATGTCGCCATTTATTTTGAAAATTTGGAAAATGTTCATATAGTGTAGCCTCAAAATTAAAAAATTTCGGTTTCAAATTCAAGGAACCGCAACATCAGCCAGGTTGATTATAGAATATTTTGTAGAAAATGGGCCGAACAGTTTAGCTGATAGTGTTGACCACGGTTGGACGGACAATTAGCCGTCAATCGACTCCCCCTATCGAGGACCCACAAAACCTGAATTCTGGCTACACCACATGTTAAGGGATTCTTTTTCTAAATTGAGCAACTGGATTTATCCCATTTTCGTTACCAGGGCCCTGTAATAAGAATTGTTCAGCCGAAATTTCGTGTTTTTTCGTGCAGAATCACGTAACTTTCTCTTCTTAGACGTTCCTTCTTAAGCGAAAGAAAGTAAAATTTAGTTCGACCAAAATGCTCACTCGCGTATGTTGAAGTCGCGAATCTTAAAACCGCTAAAATTTCTCTAATGGCGAATGTTCGGAAGTCGCGAATAGCGAATACACGGGTGTCGGGAGTTACTGTACGTACCGTTTTTATTAATATTTTCTCTTATTCACAATGGGATGAATATGGTACATCTATATTTGTAAATATACCGCACAAAGACAAACAAAAACATTTATAAGAAAAACGTACATAATATCAAGATAGTCACAAAATGAATGGAATAAAATCTCGATTTCATATGAGTTATGCAATTATTTTATTATTATTTATATTATCAAATTAATCCATATTATCCATTAATCTACAGGAGGGAATGGTAAAGTGTGCAACGCGAAAGGTCTTGCCTGTCTATCACGACATGTCAAACATCTACAAACGCTATATAAAGAAGAAGAAGAAGTCGAAAAGAAAGAGTCGTGTGGATGTATTCCACCATGTGATTATATTAAATACGAAATAAAATCGACTGACGTTTCTCGGTCGTAAGTTTCTAGGAATTGTGTTCCGTACGTACATGTAGATATTAAAAAGTAATATTTTTCATCCATCATGCGTATTTTTATGTTTCAGCAAAGAACATTCCGTTTTGATTACTTATGGAATAAAAGAATTCAGCACAACTCGTTATAAAATAAGAGTGTTATTTGGAATAGAAGATCTTTTAGGTACTAAATATGATCCGGATATTTTTATCAGTAATTATTTAGTAATGAAAATTACAATATTTGTTTATCTGTCTTTAATGGTTTCATTCTAATTTCAGTGTCGTATGGAGGAACTGTAGGATTCTTTTTAGGCTGCAGTTTACTAAGCGTTTTTGAGCTGGTGTATTTCTTCACTCTACGACTGGTGTGTGTGGTGTTCTGTCATTCACGCGGGTCTAAGGGTGCTGACCGGCAGAAACGACGGAAGCAGTGGTTTCAGTCGCTGCATCCTAATCTCAAGGAACCCTTCTACTAAGGTTCCTGCAAGGAATTCACAATGCACTCAGCAAGGAGTTTTCATGGGTGATTTACAATTTGGGTCTGAGATTGCTGATAGCTTGATTTTAAATCGGGTTAAGTAAACACATAGATATGAAAATCTAGGGAGCTTACGTCCTTCTTAAACACAATCTAATGCCATATATTGATGTAATAATGTAGTGCCAAGAAACTATTGGTGCTACAAATCGCACAGACTTTCTCGCACTAGTTAGTATTGTAAATATTGTAATTTAGGCTACCTTTTCGTCCTTTTACCAGCTGATACCTATTAGCGCCGTAATGAAAGTTTCACTTTTTTTCATATTTTGTGTTCCTTCACAGAAGAATTGATATATTCCTTAAGAATATAACAAAATGGACATAAATGTAACTTCAAATTAACTTCTCCCCTCATGTCACACACTTTTTAACTGTTTTTGACGTAAATAAATAAAATAATAAAGTAAAACACTTCTGTATGAAAACTAATTGAAACCTTTGTAGCCGTTCTTGATAAAATGTCATTTAAACGTTTCTGAAAATGCGCAATTTTGAATTCATTTATTAAGAGTTTTTGCGAAACTTCATAAGAACACATTTGAAACTCTTCTAATCACAAATGCAATAATGTAATGTAAGTGCCCATAGTGTTAATATGAGAGTTATGTAAACAATGTGGAAGATATTTAAAAATACATTTGTTATTTTGTAAAAATATTCAAATTCAAATATCAAAATATCCTTAATGTCACAGTTTTTTGCTTATTTAAAACAATCCGTATTTCAGTGTATTTAGAACTATCCGTACAAAAAGTTTAAAGAAAAAATTGGTGCAGTTTTTGAGAAAATGTCGTTCAAGCGTTTCTGAAAATTTTGAATTTTGAATTTTTAAAAAAATGTTGAGTTTTTGAGAAACTTCTTAAGGCATCATTTAAAGCACTTGTATTTAAATGAAATAATGCATACAAAATGCCAGAAATGTAAATATTAACGACGTAAGTGATTAAGAAATTCAGTTGTCTCATGATGAAAAACAACAAAATATAGGAAATGTCATCAGTTACAGAGAAATTAGTATTCTCTCTACAAAAGTTTAACAAAAAAATTGAAGTAGTGTTTTGGTAAAGGTTAGTTTTTGGCATTACTCATATTTCACTAAAAACTACACGAAAACCATATTTTGAATAAATATGTACGTGTTCCTATTTTAAGATCTAATTTTGCATAACATATTTTACTTTATTTACTCTTATCGTCAATATTGAAGTTGTAGGGAGACGTCGGAAACATTTTGAAATTTTGAAGGTTTCAAAATTTTAGATATTTTAATAAAACTTAGACCTACGACAGTCTTGTAAGCCTCCTTTACACTATCCGAGGACAAAATTTAATAAACAAATTTGGAGTCACTTTTTGAGTAAAAATGAAAATGCTTAATTTAAAGTATCCCTCGAAATTAAACTCGTTGCTAATTCAAAAGCCCATGACATCATTCAGATATTTCCCATTAGAAGGGAATAACAATTTTCGTGACTATCATGCTTACGGTTTAAACACCAGCGCTGTTGACGGACAGGCGTTTTGTAGTCAACAAATTTTTCAGTACCATGGGAACACAAAGTAAGGATTCTAAGTACAAGGGAACTAATTTGCTACCTACAGGAATTCCAGTTCTTCTATATTTTTCTGTCGAATTTATCTGTTGAAAAATCGCAGTTTTTCGCCGCAGCAGTACCATATCGTACGTTACCATTGCCGCCATAACCTTCTCTTTACATCTGTAGTATGCAAGAAATAAAAATATAAAACTACCAACAACGTTAGCATAATTAGAGGCAACGTATTTGATGGAATCGGAGGTATATTATATTGATCTGAGTGTCTTTGTTCTTTGTGGGTGTCTTTATTCAGATGACAAACTTTGTGTACAGTGGCTATAGTTGAAGTAATGCTACCGGTGGGCACATGAAGATTGTGGAGTAGAAGATTTATTTATTTGACCACAATGCATTAAGAAAATGGACAAAAAACTGAAAAACTAGAAATGATTTTATTACTATTTTGGGCAAGTGATAAAATAAAATGTACTCGTGACACCATTTAGTTTATTTATATTAATAAACAAATATGAAAAGCTGACCTGCCGCAAAATACAAAATAACACAATCTACCGTAACACGTCATCTAATCATTAAAACTTTTTGCAGGCACACATTCACCCCTCTTCTACTATCGTCGGCACCATCTCTCTCTCTCTCTCTCTCTCTCTCTCTCTCTCTCTCTCTCTCTCTCTCTCTCTTTTTGCCTTTAAAACCACTCGCGTATGAGTGTGTAGTTCGTACCAAACGCCATCTCCCCCTAGGACGCTGCGGCTGCCGAGGGCGCCCTGTTGCTGGGGGAGGTAAGGCCGCAACATTCCACTTCCACTGAACCAGGATGAGCCCATCACTGGCGAAGTCCGGTTATCCAACAAGTGGCCCGAATTCGACTTCTTCTACCTCGCGCATTTCGACCTGAGGAAGGTCGCTGTATGGCGAAGGAAAAGCTGGCAACTGGGCCTAGGATGTGGGGTCTTCCGGGCAGATTGTTTTCAAGGAGACTGTTTTCAAGAAGAGCGTTCTATTGTGCACTCCTGAAACTTTGAAGATGTCAATCACTTATCAAAACGATCTTTGCTACAAACGGATAAAACTCAGTCAATAGATTCAATGTATATGGCACAATAATCAAATGAGTCACGTAAAACAGGACAGAAGTATTAATTTGTTAAATTGCAAAAAATGATATGATTTTATCGTTTTAATACTGTAACTTCTTGTTTCAATCTCAACGAAATGTAAAATCATATCCACTACTAATAAACCCCAAATCACTCCGAGGCAGATGCATTTAAAACATTTATTACAAATTAGTCATCAACCACTTAGAAATTTCGCTCACCGGAAAATTTTAACAGCATGAAATGTAGCCTAAAATGTCTGTGTTATTAAAAAATTACCAAATTTACTCGTTAAGGTTGCTGTATCACTAAGGCTAAGACATTTCAAAGATTTATGCATCACTAAGGCTAAGACATTTCAAAGATTTATGCATTGCTAAGTCTAAGACTTTTTTTACGTCCAGGACGTCGATAACTCGATGGCATAGTAAGTCAAAGGCATCGCTAGGTTTGTAAGATGTTGCTAAGACTAACAATGCGTCGCTGGGTCAAGTCGGCGGCGTCGCTGGGTCAAGTCCGCGTGGGTCTCGTGGTGTCCACCCCGTGCGCAGCGCCTCTATCCAGTTCGCGGGCACCGCCGTGTCGCGTGCGCAGGGCAGCGCCAGGCAGATGGCCACGTAGCGATGCTCCTTGTGCAGCTTCCCGCAGTGGCAGCGCCTCGTCCTCACCGCGCCCACGTCGGGGTCGGCGAGGACGCTGCGAAGGGCCCCGGAGGTCTGGAGCAGGTTCCCGCCCAGGTGCAGATGCCTCAACATGCAGCGACCGGGCTCGAACCACGACCTCAGCGCCGGCTCGCTCGCGTCCGTGATGCGGTTCATCCTGAGGTCGGCTAGCCGCATCAGCGGCCACGCGGACGCGTTGTACGGCGCCAACTCCGCTATTCGGTTGTTGAATGCGAAGAGGCACTTCAGGGATGCGAGGCTCTGTGAGGAGATGGGGGACAGGTCTGTCAGGAGGTTGTTGTTCAAATTTAGGGTGTGAAGTTGCTCGAGCCCTGTTGAAAACAAAATGTGTAGGAATAAAAACGCAAATATTTCACTTTATAAAACGATGTGCTCACTGGATCGGTACGGCACGGACGGACGGGACTAGACGGATGTCAGTTTTTGTAAGAGGGCACGGCGCGGCGGGGTACGGCACGGACACTTTACTCCGTGACCTGTATTATGTGCGACGGCTTCATAATTTAAGTAGAGAAACAAAACTAAAGAGACTAAAGAGAACGATAATGCCATAATTAGAATTTCACTTATTGTGTGCCAATTTTGTGGAAGATAAAAAATTATGTCAATTCTTTAGGATGTCTCACGATAAATTTAAAGCTAAATTGCATACTTTAAAAATTTAAGATATAAATATAATATGTTGCACACTCAATTGAATCGAACTAAGCAACGCACTCTTAATTGCATTACTTTACTTAGAAACTTACTTTAATCAGCACTATAATTTAAGCAAGTATACATACAAAAAATGACATTAATTCATGAACTAATGAATTATTCCATGGCATAATTTATTCACCGTGCACAACTGAACCAAGTTGCAACAATATAGTACAGCTTCTTATAAATACCTGGAAATTTAAATTTGCCTAATGTTACTTCCTGATTCATATAGTTTAGCCAAGACCGTCTATATCTCTATATCGAGATGGGCTTGGTTTAGCTAACTAATTAAATTACACTTTCTAAGAAGGTAATACATCAAATAAAACTTAACATGACGCTGTACAACTCGGGATAATTGTGGATCAACATAATTAAATTGGACCCATTCATGATCGCTTTATATAATGTCACAAAGGTCGATAACGTCATCGGCACATCGGAACGTCCAGAAGACCTTTCCTTCGGACTTTTTTGCAAAGGGTGGAAGGTGCGGATCGTCCTAACCCGCCCTAGAGCGCGCAACCTAACGGAAGTCAATGGAATCAACTTTTAAAAATCCCGTCCGTCCTTCCCGTACTGACCCAGGGCACGCTAGACTTAATGCGTTCATGTCCATGTGTTCCGAATAATATGAAGCATTTAAAAAAGGAAAATACGTTTTATTTAAAAGAAAATTGTACTTTTTTATGTATTTTTTGTGCAGCAGGGTAATAAATTACTGTGTGCAGTATTGTTCTGAATTATAAATTGTCGCCAAAAAGAAAAAAAAACTGTTCAAACTTCAGAACTTTTTTTAATATGCTGAATGTGTATATGATTGCAGGAAGAATAATTTAAATAATTTACATGTGTTAAATAATACAGTTATTTTAACGTTTCGGCACT